TCGACGTCCTCGTCAAGGTTAGGTCAATTTATGAGTCCTAAGGGGTTGACAAGCAACGCCCCTTGGCCTCCCTTCTCTTCAACCACAATTGCATTCACTCCAGCCACTTGTTTGTCGCTGGCCATTGCTTCCAATGCAGCCCTCTTGTCCGCAGCAGTCATAGCATTTAACACTACCTTCTTCTTGCAGTCCCTTGCTCGATGTGGCCCATCACAAATGAAACAGCCACTAAATTTGCTGCCCTTCTTCTTGCTCTTTGAAGTTCCAGCCTCTTGCCTTCCTTCCCCTTGCCTTCATTAGCATTGTTATTTTCACATTTCTTCCACTCTTTTGCCTTGTCCTTTCCGTCGTTGGACTTTGAAGCAGAAGTCCCATCATCCAAGTGAAAATCACCCAATGCATCAGCCGCAGCCACAACACTTGCGAGGTTTTGAATATTCTGCCTACACAACTCCAATTGTGCCCACTATTGCAGCCCGCTCATGAAGTTGTGCAATTTATCTTCTTCTGACATATTGCTGATGCTCAACATCAAAGAAGTGAACTCTTACATAATACTCTCACTAATTCGATTTGCCTCAACTTTTTTATTGTTTCCCTAGCAATCCAAGACGTATTGCTAGGAAGGAATTGATCCTTCAATTCCTTTTTAAGCCGCTCCCACGACTCAATCTTTGGTCTGCCCTAACTTTCATCTTCAGCCACACGAGTGCGCCACCATAACTTAGCATCGTCACTCAAATACATGCTAGTCAAGGTTACTTTTCCTTCTTGTCTTGCACACTAATAAAATGAAAGTACTGCTCCATATCCCAAAGAAAATTCTCCAATTCACGTGCACTCCTTGCACCACCGAATGCCTTAGGTTCAGGAATTTTAACCTTAAGACGATCAGCACCACGTTGAGGAGCATCCTCGCCTACAGCACGTCGCAGCACCACTGTCTCACTTTTCAGATCCGCATTATCTTGACTTAGCCTTGCCAATTCTTCCTCAAGGTAGGCAACCGTTGTCACGAGAGTCTAAAATTCGTCACATTCAGGTACATATCCAACAAATGCCTCCAATTTTGTTAGCCTTTCCCGCAGTTCGTTGTTGCCCGTCGTGCCTCTATCACGAACCTGTTTCGCTCTGATACCAGTTGTCACATGCGTGTTTTCTGTCCGTCGAAACCAGCCCGTGCGGCAGCCAAGTCCAGCACTTGACTTCAGCCTTCTCACAACACTTAGCCAAAATTAAAGAAACTTTGGACATAGATTATTTTTTAGACAACTTCAACGTAGTAAGTCTTTGGACTGATTTTAGGTAACGAAATTAAGTAAGGCAACAGAAAATAAAGAAGAACACAAGGAACAATATAAAGGAAACTCTTTTTCCAAATTTGTATTTAACTCGAGCATACAAAGAAACTCAAACTCAAAGTATAGCCGTGTACAAAAGATCACTCTTGACCTTAGGCGTTTTCACTCTTGAAAACAGACTTAGGAATCCTTCCTAACTCTCAATTTGTGCACTCATACACGTTTTTCTATCCTTCCCACAAGCATAAGGGTGCTGCCCATTTATAGCACATGAGACGGTCCCTTTGCCTTACACTTGTCACACTTAGGCTTAGACACTTGTCCCACACAGCCCACTATTTTAGCCTAGTGTAGATGACATTCCCTAACTACTAGGATCATGTAAGATCATGATAATAATAATGGAAACATGGGCCCAAAAATGTTCTAACACCATCTGCCAGCTTTTTAGCAAAGTCAATTGCTGCCCATGTGCACAGCATGTGCCGTGTAGTCGCCCTTGACTTGGTCAATCTGAAGCATGCTGCCCATGTGCGTGCCTTGGCTCTAATCAGGCGCCAATACCTTGTACTCAGGTGCATTCTAGAAGTATTTTGCCCATGCCATTGCCCACGCACATGGCCCTTTGACGTGCCCCAATGCCATGACAAGTCTTTCTCGCGCACTGCCTTCCATTGCACTTAGCCTGCCTTTGCCACTTCGTTTTTGCCTTGCCTTGGCATCACTACCTCGTGCCTTTATGCCTTTGCCATGATCAAGTGTCATCCTCAGCCCGCATCTCATTGTCAAGCCCTTGCCAAGCTGTCTCGCCTCTGATGTCGCCCAAACTCACACCACTAATTGTGATTGTGAAGCGGTCGACGCAATTATAAATACCCAACACGATTCGGGGTCGATTCCACAAATAGCTTTATGTGGGATTAGGTATATACCAGTCTAGTGTATGACGTGCCCAAGATTGCACTTCCATGTATTCAGTTGTTTCTTTTCTACTTCTAGTTTGTATGCTAATGCTTGTAATTGAAAAGCTAAGAGACAATGTTTTTGGTATTGTTGTTTTTCAGGTTATAAAAGATATAGGGTTGTAACTTCAGCCTAGATGGTTACCTAATGGATTGAGAGCTTTAGGGCATGTTTGGTTGATCGGGATACAATATAGTAGTCACACGCGATTACTCACTCTATACCTCTCGGTAGTTTGAGTGATTTTGCCCAATTTGGCTTTCTCAAGTCCAAATGGGTATTTCACGAAATAAGTAATATATGCTCAAGTCGGGTCTTACTATCTCTAGGTTCGGCCCTTTAATTGGGGCTATCAATTTTTTGAGTTCATCTCAATTTCTTGTTAGCCAAGTTTTCCTAGACTTAGTCTCTCTTTCTTAAGTAGAGACTAGCATGAATCAATGTTTGCAACCATCAATTCTCAAATTCAAGCAAGAACTAGGCTAAATATCATATTACCATATCATAAATAAGCCCTAAATCAGTCACCCATTAAGTACCCATACTAGGGTTGGGTCACAACCCTAGCTGTGGGTTTAGCTACTCATAGAAAATGTAGAAATTAAAGAAGAATCTAAGAAAAAATTCATAATAGATGATTAAGGGAAGAAAATCTAATGTTAAAATGTTAAACTATTACTACCCAATACAGTAAAGAAAAACGGCTATCTATTCTTAGGTGCACAAAACTTAACCTAAAAATGACAAAAAGATCTATTTATACCCAGCTAAAATTGTCGGACAAAAATTGCCCTTGCGGAAGTTGTGCGGCCGCACAATTCTGTGTGCGGTCCGCACTTTGAAACTTGGCTTGGCAGGTTGGACTTCTGCAACAGCACAATTCTGGGTTGCGGGCGCACTTCTTCAACTTCTGCGGAACGCACATTTCTAAGTGCGGCCGCATTCTTGATTCTGCGGCCGCACAATAATGGTGCGGTCCGCACTTCTTGACCTTGGGCTTTGGCATTGGGGGACTTCTGCGGATCGCACATTTTTGAGTGCAGCCACGCTCTTGATTCTGCGGCCGCACAATAATGGTGCGGTCCACACTTCTTCATGGCCAAAAAGTCCATCTCTCTGAACCTCATCTTCTGCGGCCACACAAGAATTGTGCGGCCCGCATTTTGCATGGAGATTTTGTCAGAGGCTTCCTTATGTTCTGTAACTGCACTCAATATTGTGCAGTCCGCATTTTGCCTTTTAGCCTTATTTTGGTCCTTGTCCAAAATTACTCTTTCTTGAGTTGATTTTCGTTTCTTTGGCTCATATTCCAACACTCCTGCAAGAAAGCACATTTTATTAGTTTTCGGGAATACCTATAAGCACTGTTGAGATAAAACGGAAGTAAAAGAGTGCAAATAAGTAGTCAAAATCTCCACTTATCAGCCCCTGTCAAAGCCTTGGCCATCACTTGCCCGTTTCCTTTTTTGTCTTGGTGCTACCCGTGCACCTTAGCTTGGCAATACTCTTGCTGCCCCTTGACAACACTCTCGTTGTCAAGTCAAGCTCAAAGTGGCAGGGGGCTAACAATGGCCAATATGGGGGAAAAGAAAAACTTCATACTGCCATAGCCCAAATTGATCTGCATTCTATTTTTGACAGATCCTAACTTCATTCCCGCGATTGGAATTTCAGACTTGACAGACTGTAGTTAATTATGAGATGGATAAACTTTAAACTTTTATAAACTTGGGCTGTTTTTTAAATAGGGGTAAAAACGGCTATTTCTGCACTGTCAGGAGTGCTAATTAGGGGTGTATCGGTCGGTTCGATTCGGTTGTGAGTATTATTGGTTCGACATATCAGTTATCGGTTTATAAATATGCTAAACCGATTAGCGAACCGATAAAATATCGGTTATCGAGTATTTGTTAATCGGATATCGATCGATATCGGTTCGATTTTACCCCGATAATGTAATTTAATTTAGAGCGAAAAGCGTAGTGTATAACGCTAATTGATCTTATACCTTAATCTCTTTCAATTATGTTCTAAAGAGTGAACAAAAGTTTCATGGACACATGTCTACTCTCATCAAAAGTTTTTTCAATTGTAATACAATAAATTTTTCTTAAATGTACTTCATATATTCACACACGAATGAACATCAATGATATTATGAAATTAAAGAGGATGACCTCACCATATTAACTTGCATCCTACCAAGACAATGACTGAAGAGCTCATTATTAATTTTTTCATAACGCAACAGTGTTGTATTGTATAAGAGCAAAATATTAAATAAATTGATACCGTGAAATGCACTTATTCAGCAATTGTAGCAAGAGCAATAACATGTACCGGAAAGGTGACACGCGTACTCCATACTATTCGGGAGGATCCATTAGCAAAATATACTGAATATTGGGAATATTAGAGGACCATAATTACAAAAGCTACTTTCATATCAGGAATTAAGAGATTTGTTGAAGTCTACTCGTCCAAATACGATAGAAACAACACAAAATTGCGGCAATTACACTTTAAAAATTAAAAAGTCCAAACATAATATTAATAGAGAATGAAGCCCTAAAGTGGCTTTATATACCTAAAGAGTAAAATTATAATTTTGATAAGTTTATTGGGTTATCGATTAAACAGTTAACAAAATTGGGCAAACCGAGACCTGAACGGATAAACCAGTAATCAAATAACACAAAATCCTTATCCAACCCTTAACCCAATCACCCCATACCTAACCCAATAAACATTTTACCATTTTTACGCGATATATGCCCAGCCTAGTGCTAATGGTCCGAATAGAATGAACACAGGATAATTCATAGTCGTTTCTAAATACCACTACCACCCCACCATACTCACTCAACAAGCTAACGATGTCTTCTGCAAGTCTGGATATGGTACTGAATCTGAATTTGACTGCTTAACCAAAAAAATTCCAAACAGAACAAAAATGATAAGAGAAAGAAAAAGAAAAAAGGAAAGAACTTAGTTGAGCTGATATTTCCATCGCATGTTTTAACCCTTTTTTCTTGCTTTAATGGCAGAGTTTTGCTGGGAGTTTTTGCAGGAAATGGAGTTTCAGGCCTTGTAGAAGACCAAAATCTTGCATTTCTCAAGTGGGGTTTCGAAAAAATCAATCTTTTTTAGTATTACTGGTAAATTTTTTAATTTCGTTACATCCCTTTTGTAGATGGTATGAAAAGAAACTAAGAAATTGAGCTGAAGTTTTGTGCTTTATGCTGTTTCAGAATTCTATGTATGATAAAATAGCTTGGCAGTAGAAGAACTTTTTAAAGTATTTATATGGAGTACAGTTAACCTTACTTCATCATAAAAGAAAAAGAAAAGAAAAGAAATTGAGGACAGTTGATTTTAGTGGTGAACTGGAGGTTTGGTTTCAACTTGGATATGTTGACCTTTTTGGAAATTTGCTCCATTTTCAATTATTAAGCTAAGTAGATCTTTGGCCAGAATTGACTATCTAATTAAAGCAAAATTATATATTTCGTGTTAGTTTGATCTAGGAATTGACATATATAGCTTAGGGGCTTGTGGTACTAAGCTAGTTTGCTCTTTCTACTTTTTATATTCCTTTCTGTTATTGCTCTTTATTGAGTAGAATGTAGTTGAAAGTTTTCAATTTTGTATTTCAGTTGATGGGTCAATACGATTATACGGAATTTATTAAATTAATTATTAGATCATTTCATTTGGGGAGATTCTTATCAATTTTATCTTCACATTCTGTACTGCTGTTTGTCTTCCTATGTGATTACTGACTAAATTAGTTAGGTCTTTCGAGAGACGTTATCAATGTTCTTTCTATCGCTTTGGTCCCTGTATTTTTCGTATATCATAACAGTGTTCCTATTAGCTAGTGGTTTAGTTTTGTTGGTGAACAACTCGAGATCAATGAACAATAGTGATTGCAGCGTTTTCAGAAAAAAAAAAAAAGGAATTATGCATGAAGGTATAATTGCGCTTTTATGCTGTATTCATTTGCTCAGTTACCATATCAAATATTTTGTGGATGTAGATAGTTAAGTGGTTTTTGATAGTGAGCTTGTAGGTTTATTTAGTGACTAAAGCAAGTTTTGCTCAAAAACTAATATCGTCAAAGAGAGTGTGGGGTTGCCCTAGTGAAGAAGATGGAACAGATAACCAATTCAGCTATTAATTCACCATCGGACAAGTTCTTCTTTCTTTATGTTTTCGTATTAGAAAGTTATTTCTTTGGAGCACGAGCAGACTTTCGCTTTAAAGACATTTATAGAAGTTTGATGCATTAGAAAATCTTGTATTAAGAGTTGGTAAAAGAAAGTTTGCCACGACTATGTGAACATCTCATTTGATTTCTATACCATTTGTCACGATAATCTCTTGCTCCCCCACCCCCACCCCCACCCCCACATACACACTCTTCTCTCCAACATATAACTAACATAGAAATTAAAAGAATAATGTTGTTTATTTGTGTTTTCTTTTCCGCTTGATAGTTGGAGAGCTATTCTTTGCTGATTGACAGATAAGTTTTCTTTTTCAACGTTGACAAACAAAACCTACAGCAGTTATTAGTCTAACATATATTGCAGCAAAGGAATGACATAATGCCCCGGAAAATCAAGAACTGTACAAGCTCTGTAGGATATAATGGAGTTCCTTCAACAGAAATTTCTTGTGCTCCAAGTGCTGCAGCCAGTCAAAATGAGCTGCCTCCACTTGTTAGTGCTTTAAAAGCTTCAGCTGAAGAAAATGCTGCAAGTTTTCATTTTCCTGGCCATAACAGAGGGAAAGCAGCACCATCATCGTTGACTCAGCTCATTGGTTCAAAACCGTTTCTACATGATTTGCCTGAGCTTCCAGAGCTTGACAATCTCTTTTCTCCAGAAGGTCCCATTTTAGAAGCACAAAAACAAGCGGCAAGACTTTTTGGAGCATCAGAAACATGGTTCCTTGTTGGTGGTAGTACATGTGGAATTCAGGCCGCCATTATGGCGACTTGTTCACCTGGAGATACTCTTATTCTACCACGGAATTCTCATATCTCAGCCATATCTTCCATGGTATTGTCTGGTGCACTCCCAAAGTACATCGTCCCTGAATATGATTTCAACTGGGATGTCGCTGGTGGCATCACTCCATCACAGGCAAGTATAACATCAAGATGCAATAATTTATATGGATTTTCTTTTTATTTTATTTTATTTTTTTTAAAAAAGACTTTAACTTGTACCCATGAAATGGTGAAGTTCTTGATATGTAGGTGTACCAGGCAATCAAAGAGCTAGAAATGGAGGGCCGAAAAGCAGCTGCCGTTTTGGTTGTTTCCCCTACCTATCACGGTATATGCAGCAACTTAGATGAGATCTGTGAGATCTGTCATTCTCAAAGTATCCCCGTAATTGTTGATGAGGCTCATGGCGCTCACTTAGGATTTCATCGGAAGCTGCCTAGCTCGTCCTTGAGCCAGGGAGCTGATCTTTCCGTACAGTCTACTCACAAAGTTTTGTGTGCGCTTACGCAATCATCAATGTTGCACATGCAAGGAAATCTTGTGGATAGAGAAAGAATCAGCAGAAGCCTACAAATGCTTCAAAGTAGTAGCCCAAGTTATCTGCTTTTAGCATCTCTGGATGCTGCCAGGGCCCAACTAACTGAAAATGGAGAGGCAATATTTGACAAAGCGATGAACTTGGCAATGGAAGCAAGAAGCTTGATTAGTAAAATTCCTGGAATCTCAGTCCTCGAGTTTCCAAGTTTTTCTAGTTCTTTTTGCATTGACCCATTGCGATTAACCGTTGGTGTATGGCAGTTAGGTCTTTCAGGTTTTGAAGCAGATGATATATTGTGCAAAGATTTTGGTGTTGTTTGTGAACTTGTAGGCACCAAATCTTTTACTTTGGCGTTGAACTTGGGGACTCAAAGGGATCATGTTCTTAGGCTTGCAGCTGGTCTAAAGCATCTAGCGAAAACTTATCACTTTCATCAACCTCTGGAAGATGAAGGCAAAAATGTAAATCATTTTGCATGCTTTGATGATGTTAGAATGAGCATGAGCCCTAGAGAGGCCTTCTTTGCTGAAAAACGTAAAGCCAGCATAAGAGATAGCCTCGGTGAAATTTGTGGAGAGCTTGTATGTCCTTATCCACCTGGTATTCCAGTGCTAATTCCTGGTGAGATCATCACAGAAAGAGCGTTGAATTATCTCGTGGAGATCAGAATCAAGGGTGCTGTTATTACTGGAGCAGCTGATTGCTCCCTATCATCTTTTGTTGTATGTGTTACCTAAGCAATTCCTTCAGCAAGAAGCCTGGCAAACAAAGGACAAAAGGAAGGACTTCGGTGTTAGAACAGCCTGCATTTGTCATTTGAGATCTTAGCCTTTCCTCTACTGCAGCGTCTTTCCTGTACTGCAACCAGCACTTTTGGGTATAGTTTGGAGGTCAAAGCAACTTCATTAAGAGCTTTCCATGGGAATTGACCTGAATTGGTAACTCAAGGGCAGCTCAATGAAACTTGTTTTTCAGACAGTCCTACTCTAGAGTTATCTTTCATAAAGACAACTACAGTCTCTTATGCTTGACAGAGTCGTCCATAATGCTGGTCACAACAATGATTGCTGGGTTCCCACATTCTTCTTTTCCTCATTCTATATTTATATATCAGCAGCAAGAGCTAGGACTATATTGGGGAGGGGCAACACGATGCTCCTCATCAAACTTGTCAAATGCCATACAGGAGGCTGGAGCAAGAGAAGTACTGACAAGTTATTTTTATCATGAGATAGCATTTCCATTGACACCCTAGCTCATCTAAAACCAAACATGCTCTTTGGTGCATTCTCTTCTCTCTTTTTTCTCGGGTCTTTTAGCTTTTTGGCTTATATGTGTGTGTTAATTAATCTTGTTAGGAGTGAATGATGGATTGTTTTGAAGAAGTGGAGGTGGAACAGTGAGAATATGTAACATGGCATCTCTCTTTTCTTATCTGCTCTTGTACGCTGTACAATTGCAACAGTATGATAACTTTGAAAATGGTGTAGTTATTGGACTCTTGTTGTGGCAAAAATGGTACTTGAAGATCAAAATTTACATTTACTTTGTTTTTGCTCTCTTCTATCTTGGTGGTGGTATACCGTGTGATAGAAGTATGACCTATTTTCAGCATTGCTGTTAGAATTGGAACAAAAGGAGGATAATTCTTGAAAAACAAGTTAGAAATAGAAGATGGAAAATAAAGAAAGAATTCAGATAATGCGACTTTTGAACTTCTTAAAACAGCCCACTAAGAAGGAAAAATGATTGAACAACCACTATATATTAGGACATGTATTAGAAACTTGAATCTTCTGCCAATAGAGTCAATAGTGTACAAAATTGAACAATGAATGGAAATTGTTAAACCAGATTTTGATAGCAAAAGGAATGAGCTTTAATATTATAGTAAGAAAACACATCCTATAATAATGAATTTAGCACTCCTATTCAAGATTTTCCTCAACTCCCATGCCCATGCAAATTTTGCAAAATACAGAGAAAGAGAGAAGATAGCAGTAGGTTAATGGCCAAGAAAATTTTAACTAGTTGAGTGACTGACATCAAAGATATCATTGGATTTGCCCTTTTCCATCCTTGAAAGCTACGCATAGTCCAAGACATCACCTAACTTTTTTGTTTCTTGTAAGCTAATACTCGTGCTTTTGGAATAGATTTCGGAAGGAGAGACGCTCGAGCTTGCCATAAAACCTCGACGATAAAATGCCCTATATAAATAAATCACTAAGACAAGTATACGGTGTTTTATGTGGTATAAATAATCTCTGAGGTAACAGGTAGTTTTGGAATAAAAGTGATTATATTTTGTGAGCTACAAACGTTATAGTGCATCTAGAAAAGGAAAGAATATAGTGCAGAGCACGTGCATGTCAATTTATTAGCCCTCCAATTATTACAAGTACAAAAATACAGATTAACAAACTACGGAAGCAGTTGGAATATAATACTAATATTCAATCAAACTTAACTAGCATTCATCTTTCCCAACTCACAATTTGGTAAAAGAAGGGGGTAAAAAATGACAAGGCAAAAAGGCATATAGGTGAAAGTTTAGGAAACTAGAAGTTTAAAAATCGAAAAATCAAAGGGGAAAAAGCTTATGTCAAGGGGGGTTGAGTATGAAAATCACACAACGGATGAGCAAAATGAACCATGAATATCAGATTTCCAGCAATACCATAAAAAAAAAGTTACTATATTTCAACCAAAAAAGCATTCTTTCTGTCTTATAACAACATTTTCAGCTAAACTTAACAAAGAACAAAAGTCTTAAAGAGTATGTCGTCTATATTCTGCTCATATCTCCTACACTCAAACTACACCAACAACCAGAAACCTCGGCATATAGCCATCAAAAAACCATAATCCTAGTTACAACAAGTTGCTTTGGGGCATCATAGACTTCATGAGATCATAAGCCCCAAAACAAACAAGATGAAAATCATCGACTTTCACTTAGATAACTGAATCACTGTCACCCATCAGTTTAGGTTTCTTTGGAGCATTACCGTCCAGTACATCTAAAGGGGCTGTATCAGAAGGTGCAGACGGCCCGGCTCCCCCAAGCAGTAAACCTGTATTGCCATCTGGAGCGACCCATGAGATAGGATTAACTGTCACAACAATAGATATGCTTGTCAGTAATGAGCACGAATTTTGAGCCGGTTGTAAGTGAAAATTCTACCAAGAAGCTCAAGTAACTGGATAATAAAATTAGCATTTGGACAAATAAAAAGTGATTAGTTTATATGGATCTCAAGGACATACCAGAGTAGATCACGATATACAAAACTTAGTCACAAGGTTTTCAATCTAGAATTACAACACACCACTCAATTTGTCCAACTTAACCAATTTTAATATTACAAGGTTGACAAAAGTATTGTTTACGGGCAAGGAGACAACAAGCTAGAACGCAACAAAGACTAAAATAGAGTAGAATGATGGATCAATGTTTTATTGATAAGTAAAAAGGCTAACTGCAGAAAGGCAAGAACCACTAGTGAGGTATCCTTCTAGGATGTTAAGTAGATTATTAACCAACAAGAAGTTCCCCATGATACCATTCTGGCATAAGAGTTCATATCAATTAGGATGTCCAGGTAGATTAAATATCTTTGGTCATATTCCCAATGATACCATTCTAGCAAAAAAGTTCTTATCTTAGAAGCGTTCACTTGTGAATGCTGATTCATTATAGACAGATATATGAGTCATAGAACACATTTAGAGGAGTAAAACGGTATCCTAAAGGAAGACTATTTCTTCTTTTACTTTTCCTTTCCGGCAGCTTTTAGTCATGAAATTTGTAGTTTTCCCAAGCAGAAAATCTTATTACCATTCAATTAATACAAACACAAATAACAAGTAAAAGTATAGTTTTTTTCCAGGCATGTTGCATGCAAACATCATCATAATGCTAGATCTTATTTCTAATTTAAGCATGTCTTATACACATCCATACCATCAGAAGGACCATCACGTGAAGGTGGTGGACGACGCTTCTTAACATAGTCTTCCTGTAGAGGTCTTGGGATCTGAAATGAAAACTGTGACGTCTGTACACCTTGCGCCACATACTCCGGATGTTCCTCCAAGTGCCTGGGGAAGAGGAGAGCATTAAACGACACCCACAATAGAAATGCAAATGAAAACACATATTCCCTATTGTCAGTGCAAACAATTTAGACCAGTCCAAGAAGACATAAGGAAAAGAAACATGTTCTGCAAAGCCAGTTCAACTTGATAAATTGAACATACTTTAGAACTTCAACCATGGAACGAAGTCTCTTGCCAGATGGCGAAACATAGTACCTGTAAATCATGACAAGGAAAAAAATTAAAGAACCACAGCATTTATTTTGCACATCGGTGCCAAGGTTCATAGCTTAAAAGGAAAGCATCACTTGTATTTAAGTATTAACAGTAAAATGAGTAGTGAAAGAAATGCAAGACATACACATCAGCAAACTTGGTGCCTCCTTCTGCTCTGATTCTTAAAAGCCGTTCCCACCCTGGAGGAGGCTGAGCAATGTTAGGTCTATCAATTGCCCACAGCCTGCTTCCATCTTGAGTGATGTCAGGTGGATCATCACACGATACCTCAGGGCGCCACTCACGAGCTGTTTCACAATAGAAGGGCTGCTCCAGTATGTGTTCCCTTATTTCTTCATACTTCTCCTTTGTAGGTATGAGCCGCCATTTGAAACAGCTAGCACACTGCACAGTAAATGCCCCTACAGATGGCAAAACCCTAGATGTATAATTCGGGAAGGAGTTTCTTCGAGCACGGAGAGGTTCAACTTCACCAGCAGCAGAGACAGCAGGATCATAAAGCACCAACTGGTTTTGAGCATTTTCACTATGATTCTCCTCATTCTCTCTGATCTGATTTTCTTGTTCCCCTGCTAAAGAAGCAACCTTTTCTGCAGGTTTCTCAGTAGGAGTCTCCGTGATGTCGGGGGAAGTAGAAACATGCAAAGCATTTGGCTCGCTGTTGACCTTATTGAGGTCAGGGTTAGAACCTTGAACATCATTTTGATCCATCTTTCCAGGGGTGGCAATATCTGGATGGTCTCTCTCCATCCAGCCAATTCTTTAATGGAATGGAACAATCTGAGAAAAACAAATACAACTTGTCTCATTCGGGAACTCCAGGAACAGTTAAAAAGAAGGTAACTCCAATTTAACCAAAGATACCACAATTCTCAAACGGCTAATCTGTTTATCATAAAAACATGACCTATTGTTTGGGTAATACATAATAATAAGGCCTGATCTGCTGACAGATAACCCCTTATAGCAGTTAGAACAAATCATGCATTTAATGGCAATTGAAAGATACAAAAGTCAAACCAAAACACGATAGACAGGTAGAGAAGATGAAACAATCTCCACATCTAGATTCTTTTAGTCTAGTACAGGGAAGTAGTAACTAAAAAAGTAAATCTACTTAAAAACCAAAGGACCTCGAAACCTAATAATACATTCAAGACATACCATAATAAAAAATGTTGTTGGCATTTAAAAGTACAAGATAAAGGAAAAGACTGACCATCCAAACATCATCAACTACAATCTATTTCAACTACAAATCCTAGTAGTATACAGATGACCAGAGTATAAGTTAGAAAAGATGAAAGGTGTGACTGAAAAATACTACATATAAGATATGAAATAGATCAACCAATGACTCCACCATAATACAGTTATGGTGAAAAGCTGAAAATATACCAAGTTGAACAAAATAACACAGTTAAATAATCAACTATGCCTCAATCTCGAACTAGTTGTGGTCGGCTATATGAACCCTCTATATCCATTCTATTCTATCGGGGTCCATATCATTACGACATACGTAATTTGTCTTTTAAAGCAAACAGGAGTCCTTAAAACTAGAGGTTCTCTAAATTGCACACTTATCCCTACCCAACACTGACATACATGCTTCTAACGGTGTGTAACAACAATAACTAACGTTTTAATTCCGACAAGTATAAGATGATCTCCAACAGAAATAATTTCTCAAATTATCAAAGAGCACAAATAGGAAGTAGTCAGTTCACATAAAAAAGTTGGAAATGTGTATGCTTGATTCAATGTACTGTACTACTATATAAAGAACCTAATTCCTTATATGCAGTAGCTTAAAAGCATTAACTATAGTATTGGAAAATGGCTAATCTGATCATCCGGAAGCTCATTTCAATGTCCTTATACATTACTGTATCAACTTGACAGAAGAAAGTTCGGTTATTTATTTCACCACCAACTGATCATTGAGACGCTCATTTTTGTACAGCATATCTAAGGCATTTTTGTAGAATCTAGGGTCAAATGCTCAGCAGACTTTACCTCCCAAATGTAATAAGTAGCCTTTTAAAAATGTTCATTTTTTTTCTTTTCGTGAAGACAATGTTAAAGCTCTCTACTCTTTGTTTTCATGATTTAGCTTACTTCAGGGCATCCTCAAAGCTCAGTTGTCATTTGTGACAACATCAAAATCACTGATGTTTAAAATAAAACACCAAGAATTTTAAGGA